TCGAGCTATTCCACGGCGCTTGGGTGTAGCCGAGATGGAGCCGAGATGGAGCCGGGGTGGAGCCGAGACGTAGCTGGAGCCGAGGCGAGCTCGCCCGTGACGCGCCCTTCGCGCGGTCTCAGGCATCCACTCGTACCTCGCCGAGAGCGGCGTCGACGGCGTCAAGGTGGACGCGCAGTCGGGGCTCGGCCCGCTCGGGTGTGGGTTCGGGGGAGGGCCTCGAGTCGTGTCGCGCCACGTCGGCGCGAAGCGGCGTCGGTATGGCGGGCCGAGTGGAAGGAGCACCGAGTCCGAGGAGTGGTGATGACGAATCAGGCGCTATGGAGGCGTCGGTGGGCGAGCACTTTCGCGGCAACCGGTGCATCAACTGCATGTGCCACTCGAGCGAAAACCTGTGCGCCGCTGCCGCGAGACTCGCTGCCCCGCGACACTTCCGAGACACTTCCGAGACACCTCCTAGGTACCACTACCGCGAGACCTCGCTCCTCCGCGCGGCAGACGACTTTTACCCGGACGAGCCGGCGGCCCAGCCCGTGCACTTGGCGCACGTGTCGTACAACTCGCTCTTCCTCGGCGAGATAGGCCACGTCGACTGGGACATGTTCACGTCGACACACTCCGATGCGCACATGCACGCGGCGGCGCGCGCGGTGGGCGGTTGTCCAATCTACGTCTCGGACCAGCCCGGGGAGCACGACTTCGACTTGCTGCGCACACTCGTCCTGCCCGACGGCACGGCGCTGCTCGCGCGGCACGCGGGCAGGCCGACGCGAGACGTCCTCTTCAGCGACGTCAACGCGGACGGCGTATCGGCGCTCAAGATTTGGAACGAGAACGCGTGCACGGGCGTGGTCGGCGCGTTCAACGTGCAGGGCGCGCGCTGGGACCGCGCGACCCGCCGCTTCGAGCAGGCAGCGGCGGAGGAGGAGGAGGAGGAGGGCGGCGGCGCGGTGACAGCCCTCCTCCGCCCCGCTGACGTGGCTCCGTTCGGCCGCCGCGAGATTGCGGCGGAGGAGGGGGAGGACGGGGCGAGGGGTGGCGGGGGCTCCTCCCCGGCCGCGCCTCCTCCCGCCGAGTACGCGCTGTACACGCACCGCGCAGAGGGGCTGCGCGTGCTCGGGGCAGAGGACGCGGTCGAGGTGCGGCTGGCGGCGAGGGAGTGGGAGATCGTAGTCGTCGCCCCCGTCCGCGCGGAGGGGGAGGTGCGGTGGGCGCCGCTCGGCCTGCTCGACATGCTCAACGGCGGGGGCGCGGTCCTCTCCTCCTCCCTCGCCCTCTCCTCCCCTCCAGGAGAGGCGGCTGCCACCGCAGTGGTGCGGGCGGCTGGCCGGATCGGCGCCTTTGCGCGGCCGGCGCCGCTCGAGGTGTGCGTGGACGGCTCGCCCGTCCGCTTCGAGTACGACGAGGGGAGCGGCTTGCTGACCGTGAACGTCGCCGCGGACGGCGCCGAGGTCGAGCCGCTCGAGCTCCGCGCGCGCTGGGGGCCTCCGGCGGAAGAGGAGGAGGAGGAGCAACAGTCGTGAGCCCCCGGCTGAGGGCTTCACTGACCTGATCCACGAGTGTGGCCCACGGGTTTATTTCCGGCGTCTCTCGCGGTGCGCGCGAGGGGAGAGCCGAGACAGGAGCGGCGCGGGGTTCATGCCATGAGATGCCATGAGATCCATGTCCATGCTGGACACATTCTGCGACAGAAAGATGCATGTGAAGCGCGAGACGCGTGTCCGGCGGTGCGGCGGAGTTCTACCTTTCCGCCATTTATTGTTGTGCTCATGCCACTCTTCTCTGTATGTTATGTGCTTTGATTTATGACCGCGCACACACAAGATATAAAGAGGGCGTGGCTAAAAGGCGGCTCTGCCCGCCCGGATGCCGCGCGCTCAAGCGGCACGAGGCCCCGGGGGTCCCGGCCGGGTCAGGTGGTCGAGGCGTCGAGCGTCTCCCGTGTCACAACAACAACGAAGCACGAGAGCGTGCACGACAGTGCACCCCGGACACAGTTATTGTTATGGTGTTATGGCTCTCTGGGCATAGCAGCCCATACCAACATGGACATGTGCATGTACGTGTGCATGTTATGGAGGTGTTATGGGCTTATGGCTGTTTGGGCATTGGGGCCGGACACCCATAACACGGCCCCAAACAGCCATGACACCCATAACATGTACATGTGCATGTTATGGGCTGCTATGAGAGAGCCGTCCACGGTGTTATGGCCCGAGAGGCCCGCCGAACAGCTCGCCGCTGGAATTTTTGCTTCGCGCGCTGCCGCGCGCGAGGTTCGGCATCGATCGCCAAATATGTTCTCTTTTGCCCTCAAGTTAAATTCAATAACATCAACCTGCCTCCTGAGGCTGAGGTTTGTTATGCTGGCTGCCATAACAACCAGTGGGAGGTGTTATGAGTGCTATGAGGTGTTAGTTATGAGGTGTTATGGTAGGGTTTGGGCTGTCCGAGGTTTGCCTCTCGCACCCCGTCTGTTTTCCTTTCCTTTTTTCTCTACAACACCCTCTCTTTTCCTCTCTCTTCCCGGGAAAACTCCGTGGAAATCGTCAAATTTTGGGCTCTGAGCCGAGTCTGAGGCTGGTTTGGCTTTGGGCCCAAAATCAGCCAAATTTTAGGCCAAATCGGCAAAATGCCGGGAATTTTGCGGAGAACCCGTGTTTCGCCGTCTATACCTGGAAATTACCCTGCGACCGCCTGGGTATTTTGTCGATTTCCTCAATTTTGCCTCAGATTTTGCCCCAGAGCCCAGTGCCCAGACCAGCTTTCAGACTCAGGCGTCAGGGAAACTCGCGAGTTTCCAGAATGGAGCACCACACCCACCTCTGTTTTTTTTAGCAATACCAAACAACTCTAGAGATTTTTGAAAACTCTAACACTGACACGTTTGTTTGTCTGTTTTCCGGAAACGCAAAGTGCTGGGGACCAATCCTTTTTGTTTGCCGGAAAACCTCGGACAGCCCAAGGTAGGTAGGGTGGGCATAACAGCCATAACAGTGATGGAGGTGTTCTGAGGTGTTATGAGGTGTTATGGGGTGTTATGAGCAGCCAGACATAACAGCCATACACCTGTTATTATGGCCGCTACCATTAACCTTGTCTGGGGTCAAACGACAGAGATGAAGAACATGAAGAACATTCATGGGCCTGCTCGCAAACACGGAATATGTCGAAGTGATCGCGGCTTCCTAGGCTCGGCGCTTCCGCTTGGCTCCGCTCGGCTCTCGCTCGCAGCGCTTGGTTTTTCGCTTTTTCCCTCTTTCATCTGCTAGTCGCCCCCACAATGGCCGCCGCCACCGTCGCCAGCGGCTTCGTACCTTACTTCAACTCGGGCAGCGGCTTTGAGGTGAGCGGCGTCATCTACGACATCGAGACGGACAGGCTTTCTACGCCGTCACAGACTTTCACGTTCTCGCTCGACGGCGTGGACCCGGCCTGCAGCTCCGGAGCTGGCGGCGCGGCCAACTCGTGTGGCATCCACATCCACGCGGGTACTTCCTGCGCCGAAGATGCCCTCGGCCACTATTACTCGACCGCGTCCGACCCGTGGTCTGCTGTCGCGTACACTGCCGACGAGGCGGACCAGGCGCAAGGCACGTTCTCGGTGGAGACCGGCCTGGCCGCGTCGGAGATTGACGGCCACACCTTCATCATTCACGCCTTCGACGGCTCGCGCATCGCCTGTGCCATCATCATGCAACCGCCACAGTTCCTCGAGGCACGTGGCTTTGTGCCGTACTTCTCATACTCTGGCAACCTTCAGGTCAGTGGAAGCATCGACCCGATCACCACCTCCCACCTCGCGGTGGCAACGCAGACGTTTACGTTCTCGCTCGACGGCGTGGACCCGGCCTGCAGCTCCGGAGCTGGCGGCGCGGCCAACTCATGTGGCATCCACATCCACGCGGGCACTTCCTGCGCCGAAGATGCCCTCGGCCACTATTACTCGACCGCGTCCGACCCGTGGTCTGCTGTCGCGTACACTGCCGACGAGGCGGACCAGGCGCAAGGCACGTTCTCGGTGGAGACCGGCCTGGCCGCGTCGGAGATTGACGGCCACACCTTCATCATTCACGCCTTCGATGGCTCGCGCATCGCCTGCGCAGTGATGACGGCTGGCTCTAATGGCGGTGGCGGCGGAGGCTTGTCGCCGGGCGACATTGCGGCAATCGTGATTGGCTCGGCATTCGCCGCGTTCCTCCTGGTGGCATTCCTCTACCTATTCTGCTTCCCGAAATCCCAGACGACAGAGCCGCCGAAGCCGCCGCAAAGGACGGCTGATGTTTGAGGAGCGAGCCGTGAGCGGCAAGAGAGGCAAAAGCCGCGCCGGGAGCTACTGGCGCTCGGGCGAAATATGTCCTCCTTACGGAAAAGTTGCAATCGCAGTCAGGAGGAATGTGCAATAAGGCGATGTCTGTGGCCGGGTGCTGGGTCTCTCTCTCGGCACACTCAGTCAGTGTGTACACACGTCTTTAAGAGTCTGTGTGCTTTGAGTGTGCTGCGGTGTGGGCTGGCGTGGGGGGGCTTGGGGGCTGGTGTGGCCTCTGTGCCTGTGTGGGCCCCTGTGGCGCGTCGGCCGTCGCCGGTGGCGGTGTGCGCGCGGTGCGGCGGGGGTGTGACAGTGGTGACTGTGTGTGTGTGTGGTCTGGTCTGTGCTAATCTCCCTCTCTGATCGTACCCCTACTGACGTATCTCTGCTATGCGTTTTGGACTGTGTTTTTTGGGGGGCGCGGCGCCGCCGGCTAGGGTTTCCGCAGACTCTCAAGGCCGCTTGACACAGATAGAGCCCGCAGCCACACACGGTGCGCGCGCGCACAACTAGAATAAGCGCGCAGCTCTGCTGCGCTTTTGGGTGTGACTCTGCCCCACCCGCCTCAGTCGAACACCTCGCACGCGACCGTCTCGCACTCGGATGCGGGCGCGATGCCGAGCGCCGCTTCGAGGAAGCCGAGCGACGCCCGCTCCACCCAGCCCGAGCCGCCCCACGGGAAGGAGTCGTCTCTGTCCGCCCAGCCGAGGTGGCCGCCGTGCGAGGTGACGGCGAAGAGGCAGCTCGGGTTGGCGCGCGAGCGCTCGATGGCGGAGAGCAAGCTGAGCCCGGGCACGATCGGGTCGTCGAACGCGTTGAGCAGGAGCAGCGGCGCGTCGATGAGCGGCAGCCGCTGGTCGCTGCTCGCGGCGGCGTAGTAGTCGTCGACCGACTCGTACCCGTACTGCCGGCGCGTGAGCGCCTCGTCGAGCTCGCGGATCGAGAGGGCGCTCGAGGCGAGCGCGTCGTCGGCGAGGAAGGCGCCGTCCGCCTTGTCGCCGCCGGTCGGGTCGAGCTTGTCGGGGCGCGAGAGGCCGTCCCAGTACGGCACCCGCAGAGGGGCGCCGCTCGCGTCGACGAACTGGTCGCGGGCGGCGCCCCACAGCGCCTGCAGCGAGCGGCCGAGGTTGCGGTCGTAGACGGCCTTGTGGAAGGGACGCTGGAGGTTGGCCGAATTGGCCGGCATGTCGAGCGGCGTCGCGAGCGAGCACGCCGCGCCGATGGCGTGAGACGCGTCGCCGGCGTGCGTGGTCGCCTGGTGCGAGACGAGGCTCTGCTCTTGAGGGGGCGATGCTCCGGTTCTGTCTGGCGCCTGCTGGGCGAGGCTAGACTAGACTTGAGATCGCACTGAGCTAGATCCTCCGTGCCCGGCGCCTGCTCGGCGAGGACGTTGTTGACGATGGTCCCGCTGTTCGACCAGCCGACGGCGGCGACGACGCCGCCTCCCCCCAGACGCGTCTCTCGCAGGTGTCTCACCGCGAGCCGCACGTCGTCGTTGGCTCCGCGGTACGCGCTGAAGAGGCGCGGAGACGTGACTGGAGAGCCGCCGCACGCGCGCATGTTGACGACGGCGACCTGCCAGCCGCGCTCCGCCGCCGTCGCAGCCATCGAGCGGACGTACGTGTCCTGCGAGCCGCCGCCCAGCCCCGAGGCGAGCAGCAGCAGCGGCCGGTTCTGCTCGAGCGGCGGAGGAGCGTCCACGAAGAGCGTGTCGGTGCGGGAGGTGTCCTCGGCAGCTCCCGCGACGGCGCCGCCGCTGAGCAGCGAACCCAGCGCGCCAACCTGCGGGTCGCGCGCACGCGCGCGCCTGATGCCGCACAGCAGGTCGACGGCGAGCGTGCCGCCGTCTGGCGTCGGCACGAGGAGGCGGTGGTACTTGACGGCGCGCGTGCGGCGAGCCTTTGCTGCCAGGATGGTGTGCACGTGGCCGTTTGAAAGCGCGCGCGGGTGCCTGTACCACGCGGGCCACGAGGCGAGCTCGGGCACGCTGCTCAGCACCTTTTGCACCAGCTCGTTGGACTCCGCGTGCACGCCCTCGAGCAGGTTGCCGTCCGCGCGGCGGCAGCCCGGCCCGAGGGCGCCGCGCCCGACGGGGCCGCGAAGAGTGGGCCATTTGAGCGCCGTGGCGGCAGCAGCGGGACCGACGACCATGAGAGATGCGCCGCGGCGCGGATTTTTCTTGCCTGCTCGCGACGCGTTGACGAATTACTGCTA